CTTTGTACCTTGAAATCTGTTTGGCGTTGTGCAGATTGGCACAAGGTTGACACAAGACCCACTGGTGTGGAAGGACAGCTGTAAAAATGTTATACCAACAGAGACGCTTTCATCTTTCAGCAAGTATTCCTTGCACCATTGCAAATGCATTTTCCACACACGAAATCTTTCAAGGACTTGAAGCAACGGTGACATTTAATCAGGAAAAGCTGTTAGCTCTTAACTGGAGAAATCACTACACTTCAAATTCCAAACTTATACGTACGGTCATCTCAACACTTTAATATTAGGCAGGACAAGACAGGCGGTTTGCTTTATCCATTATTGTAAACAAACTTTCAGATGGCTGGTCAAGGAAGCGAAGTAACTCGCTTGTTGATGGCGACGATGATAGTACAATGCTCTTAAACATACTAAGTGAAGGCGGACCACCGATTTGTCGCTTGAGACCAAACTAAGCTCCCATTTCTACTGCGTTTTGTGTCCAAGTGGCTGCGGTGGTTTGATAATCGGTGCATCATGAACGTGAATCCCTCATTAGGAAGATCAATAAGATCTGAATGTAATAAAGCTATGACTCAAGAGACACGTCTAAGTACAACCTATACCATAGACCTTGCTATCTACGGTGTAATCAGCTCAGCTACCGGATGTCCGTACCGAACGGTGTGATGATTGTATACCGCAGTTTGCCTTCCAGCCTGTGAAATGTGTGCTGATTGGCTCAAACTCTTCATGACATCTCCCTGGTTCACCTCGAATTCAGTCACTCAGACATCACATAAATAGCCGTATAAAATATCTTATTCAACCACATAGGTGTCACCTCCCAATGGTGCAAAAGAAAAGGTACATCTGGAACATAAGGACGGCCAAGCCTACGCATTTTTCGTTGTGGATCTGAGGAACAAAAAGGGAATTGTTTTTCGTGGTACCCTATGCTTTTGCCTCCTGACTTCAAGCAACCACAAGGGCCACACACCTTACTTCCAGGAACGCTTGAAGACAATTAATGAATTGGTTCCCGTGCCACCCAGACTTTGACAATGCAATTCAGTGCAATTCAGTTTTAATCTTAAGTCGGCTTAGCTCAGAAGAGAGAACCTATGTTCCATACATAATATTCCATACACAAGTTCAGGACATATTTTTGAAAAGGCAAGAGGTAGCTGAGGTCACTTTCCTTGTTACACGTTACAACTATGGTCAGACAAGCAAATGAATTGTTACTAAGTTTCCTCATATAACTGCCAGGCCAACGGACCATTCAAGAAACGATAAGTTTCTAGGATATCATGAGTTTGGAGCAATATTAGTGACTTTTTCAATGACAACATTATAGCCTTGGACAAAACCCAATAGGTTTCAGTCAGTCTAAGCTAAGTGGACACATAGGTGATCGTATGTTTCTATTCCGTCACATGCAAGTTTAGTTTTTGTTAATGTGGACTCCATGAGTTCTCCTTCAGTTATGCATCGTGGTAAAACAAGCTTAGCTTGGCAGAGGGAAATTAAGGTGGTTGGTTTTAACACAAGCCAATTCAAATATTCAGATGAATGTGACAAGTAAACGCGAACGTACCTAATCGGACTCCTAAAGAATTCACAATCTGCATGGCTTACAGAGTTACCTGTGCCTATGAACACGTGGAATCCGCCCCTTTCTTCTGGGTACATGCATATATATATATATATGTATATGTGGTTAGATATGGCTGAAGTGAAAAAAGATTTCAAAATTTCGCGGTTCATATCTTTCTAATGTTACACTCAAATAATACTAATCGATCAGTTGTTATTTCTATGTATCCCCTATTAAGAAGTTCGTCAAATTTCAGGCACTCAGCTGCTTTTGTCAAACTTTGCCATTGACTAACTGTCTGGTAGGGCGAAAACTGTTAGTTCGTTTAGATGAGTTAACAGTTGACACAAGAGAGAATAACACTAGAATATATACTAGATTGGCGAATATATGGTCGGAAGCTAACACCAAATGAGCAACTTAAGCAAACCTAGCACAACTACTCTTTAAACCTCAGTTATGGTTCAGTAGTGCGATACAGGGGCTGAGCTTGGATACCAAACCATGGACTACTTGCATGCTTCATCATTAGTATACACCCTTACACTGGTACTCTCTTCATTTACAGAGCGAACGTGAAAAGGACCCATACACCTTTCGCACCCTCACGGAGTGCTGTGCTCAGAAATACTTCTCGATGTGATTCCAAGTTATTAACTTCATCATTATTAGCCTGCCGTCCAAGGTTAACTGTCTGACTTGATGACTTCGATCACCTGTCGGGGTGAACAACCCTTTGGAAATCTGGAACATCTATATTGCGCAAATCTGAAAAAACACTTAGTAGGCTTTCGTAAAACATGGTCAAATGCTTATCAGGCACCGACCAGAAGGGATTTTCCGAAAAATTGAAATATGACAGTTGACCATTACGTTGAGGGATTTTTCGTTTTGAAAGTTACTTATTAATTCACCGGATTTGATAGGAGATGGAATTTGTCTTGAAATTCGTAGTGCGTTTCGATTAAGATGTGCACATTACCCTTGTGGATAAATGTTCATACAATTCAGTCTTCATAGAGTCTCATTGGTCACAAAGCACGTATTACTGTCAGAAAGGTGAAGAACAAATGCGGTCAGACACGCGTATAAACATTGGTGGACACAAATCACCCATTTACACAACTAGGGTAGTGTAATGTGTCCATTAAACACTACGGAACCCCGAAATGCTCGTTTATAACGGGTAAACAATAAAGCCTCAGCTTCACTGATAACGATTGTTCACATCGCAGTGAAGTGGAGTGTGTTGGGTTGAAATTAGCGGAGCTTGTTGAGCTTTTATTGATTTCTCGCTAGGAGGAATTTGCCAGGAGTTTGTGCACAGAGGTGACTGTTTATTATGTGAACTTCACTCGGCACTTTGGCGAACTTTTAAGTGATGAGTTTGATCACGTTCGTTCATTTTTTGGACTCTGTTATATGTGTACTCACTGAAAAAGCTGTAAAAATGGCGAAATTCGACAACTAGCTTCTGTGTTTTGCTATTAAAATTCATAAATTGGGCACTCTTTTAAGTGTAGTTTCCGAATTTTGGCCCAGATGTTGCGGGTTTAAAGCCCTTGGAAGTTCCTAAGATACATACTCGTGATGAACGTCAGCAAGGAGAAACGCCTGAACAATGCTTCTGGACTTTGCGGCCAAAATCTCGGTTAAATCTTACGAACTATCCAACAGGATGCCATCGATTGTTACCAGCCGGCAGGATGACATGAACGCTGATACGAGCTTTAGTTAGTCTGATATATCTTTACGATGGGGGATGGCTGAACACAGATTCACAAACCCAACTTGATCGGGTGCGATGAAGAATAAAGTCAAGCTTAAAGAAGCAATTTCTATAGTGGTAGTGTTGAAAATGTGCAACATAAGCCACCTCTTAGCGACTGAACATATTTGCCGGTTATCTGTACAAGAATGACAATGCTGCGTACTGGTTTAACTTGGAAAGGGTCAGTTATAGAAACCTCTTCATACAAGGTGAAAACCACACTATAGTGTTAGTCGGATTCAAGTTTCACATAGGAAAATTAATTGAGCAAGAGTGCAGTATTTTTAAAGCCCTAAATAAATGTATGAAACCTCTGAAAAAATAAGTCCGAAGAGTGCAAACCGAACGGACCATGAATGGTTGCAGGTACATCTAGATGTAGGAACAATTGACGTGGGAAACGTAACACAATATAACAGTGAATTCACTCAGAAGGCGCAGGTCAGGCGGAGAATTTGGACAAGAGACCGATAACCAATGGACACTGGACGTTGTTGTTCTCGGTTTGCTCTATTCGTGGGGCCTGGCGAAAACAGTGAAATTATTTCCTACAAAGAATTAGAGTGAACCGGGGTGGCAAAAGCTAGAAGTCGGCTGCGCATTCGTCAACGTAATACGGTTGTGAAATTGAAGAAGCGGACCGTATGTCTCCTTAGCAGCCATAGAAGGTCAGCATATATTTGAAGGCGAGTAGGTGGTTGAGATGTTCAGATACAATGTAAGAATATGGTTTCATAAAGGGTAATGGGCAATGTGCAGGTTTCGCGTAATTTGTATATCCGTTTACCACTGATTAGTGATGGGTAAGCATAGGAAATCCCAAAAGCATGCGGTCTGTGCGCTCTTCCATCTGTGCTGACATTATATGTATGCGTGTAGCACACGCAAACCCATAATGTGAACTTAAACTATTACTGGATTTTGCTGGTTCAGACAGTGTTGTCAAGGCGATTCACGGCAGATATCCATTACGGAAAAAAAAGTGATGTGCCCTGTCCTCAACATTCGCATTTACTTCAGTGTTTCAGAGTTCCAGATCTGTAGTTTCAAATTCAAGTTGATCAAATTAACGGAGAGATTCGTCATTTCATCAGCTTCTACAAGAAAACCTGCGTAGGAGCGGCTTGCTCGCTTGCGTACCAAAACAGTTATTCAAGCAATTGTACAAGACGCTATTTTGTTTTCATGGCCGCAAGATATTAGGGTAATCTTATTTTAATAGTTAAAATGAAAATTCGTTCTCTATCCGACGGCTCATCTGCGAAAAAAAATAAACAGCGAACTAAGTGCTGATAGACTTCGATTTCAAACACACAAAGGATTAACCAAGCACGTAGAATTAGCGCTCTTGATACTCTGCTGATGCATGTCCACAAACCAAGTTCATACATGCAAGAATACTTGAGTTCGGCCTTAGAGTGGAAACAGTTCAACAGACCACTGAGGCATATTCAGACGTGCACCACACATTTAGTTCTGTTTTGGTGTTTTATTTATGATCTTTTTAAAAGTGGGCTGAATGCTAACAGCGAAACGATGAGGTCATCCCTCAACACTTTTTCTCTTATTGTACTGCTCTAGCCACGATTTCATCGTCAAATAATTTATAACATACCAACCATATTGTTTTTGCGTTTGGCCTTTTAGGAATCCGACGTCTTCTTATTGATGTTCAAATGATGTTAGGTGAACTACGTACAATTACAAAGATCTGCTGGAGTGCGCTTATGTTGGTCCTGTCGCCACTAATGTTTGTTCTCGCAATCGCCTCGTCCATAGTGACGATCGCTACGCAACCCGATGAAAGTCGAGCGATGCTCCCAACCTGGTCACTTGCTATCGGGTGGTTCATTGTTATCTTGTCAACGATAGGACTGCCAATTACAATGATTTACAAGCTGAGTATTCACAAATGTGACACGCACAAAGTAAGTTGGATTACAAATTCCGTTGGGAAGATAAACAGGAAGACAGGACGTAAACGCAACTACCCTTTTTGCTCAGCAGTTTATAGCGAAAGGTTGAGGAAAGCCAGTTCTAAAAGCTCGCACTTGAAGAGTTGGTTTTTTAGTTTCTGCAACCAGGGGACTTAAACTCATTATTGGATCACCTTTATGTCTCACAAGGGTCCTCCATCATGTCAAGCAGAGGATGATTTGGAATGTGTTCGGAGTTGTTTGGCGGGAGATGCCAATTCGTGCTTGCTTGGGTTCCTTTACCTGTAGCTGAACTTTTGGGTCAGAAAACATTACTGAAAAGCAAAGTGCCGGGTATTTCCCACATAGGATGCCTGGACAGTTAAAACATAGGTTGTTCTAAGACCCAAGACACAACAACACTTTCTGCAGTTAAGAATATCACATTTTCTACGGGGAATTTTCAAATTGCTCGTGGGCACAGTGATGAAATTCACGATTTACTAATCTTTATAAATGTCCCTCAAAGGGGGCATCTGAAAAGGAAAACACGATGGTTTTTTAAATGTGTATGCTTTATTGAGAGGTATTATCGTAATTTTATTGGAACAAGTATAAACTTATCTTTGCTGAGCACTCAAAAAATGCGTCCAACTGTTTTCAAAAACCTGGAAAATAACGCCTTTAAAAATGACTATAAACCTAGCTGAGACAACTGGATAATCAAACTCATCAAGCTCATCACTAATGTAAAATAGTTTTTTCCAGTGACAAACGATTCGTGTCAACCATTCAAAACAAACACTCTTAGAGTGAGACGGTTTCTGTTACTCTTCTGGCGCCAACTGTGTGAGGCGCAGTTAATGTCTACAATGAAAAAAAATGCTTGAAAAATTTTCTAACAATTTTATGATACTATCTCAATAGGGAATTGCAGACATTACCGCAGTGACACATCGATATCAACGCAATTTACATCAATACTCAGATGATTGAATGAGAGGACAAGACGAGATTATAGAACTACACTAACGTTGTCTAATGGTAACAAGTTGAAACTAGAGGTGAAGCTAAGGGGAAACCCGGGTTTATCACATCCATTTAATGGATTACATAATTCAAGGCAGCAACCTAGTGTGACATTTTTGAGGAAGTAAGAATGTACTATGCTATGTGGAGTTCCTGGTAACTTTTGATTGACTCACTGTTCTGCAGTCGGTTTGACAGTTAAAGTACCCGCAACCGAAATAAAATGGCGTTTAAAATCGTAAGTCATTTGTTATGGACGTTGTTTGACCAGCAATTAAACAAGACACAAGGGGAAACCGATTGCTGATTAGCTTTAGAGCATCCGCACCACATTGGCTAAGGATGGGGTTGACGTTTGTTCAGGTTCATTAGTCGTGAAGAAAACAAGCATGCTTGCACAGATTTTCACGACTCAGCACTTCGATCATCGTGAGTGACCTCTACAGCGATCGGAATAAGAAAGAACAACAGAGACGACTGTTAACTAGTACCTGTCAGTTGGGTAATCAGTCCTCGAGAGACTGTTCACGATGTGACAGTTGCCTGTGCGTGGTTTGGAGCTGAATCAGTTAGACTTGAAACTTTCTGGTGTTCATGGACTCAAACCACAGAGAATATGGACTAATCTTAGGGAGGTTGTGTGTTTTCAGTACCGTTCCAGTCTTGTGTGAATTGGCTGGGCCTGGTCAGAAAGAGACATTGTTCTTCCATCAATGCATACAAAGCGATTGTTGAGCCCTTTTAAGCTTTTGGAATAGGGAGGGAGTGCGGGATAGAGAGGACGCGTCTTGCGTCTTCCGCAATGCATGCTCCCAGTCGCCATCCCCTGCGACAGGTCTTGTGTAAGCATCTGGCGCGATTTCCTGGGCTGAAGGGAGCTAGTTATCTCTGTTGACAGAGGAGGCAATAGGAATGAGGGTACAGGAAGCCAGCAATGTAAATATTCATTGAAATCGTTATCTTCTTTTTGCGTACGCTAGCGTTGTGCGCACCAGTCGGTAGCCTATGCGCATAACTTTGGCGCAATGGATAGCAAACGCTCAAATTTCGGTTTTGACTAGTGCATAGGGTTAAGGCGCGTTGGAGGCTCCCAGAATTGAATAGTTCTTTTCAGCCGGGGAACCCAAATATTACTTCAATGCGACATTTTTGCGCTAAAATGCCCACGTCGCAGGGTTCAGTGAGAGCGATATTCAAGATGAATATGCCCCAACTTGAAATGCGATCACTCTGGTTATTGGCCAAATAAGTGCAATTTTTCGAATCATTTGCATTCGGTACAGAACAAGAAATAAACCATGAACTCAGGGAGTAGTGAGGTGCCCGCTAGAAACCAGAAGCAAATTGTTTTTAAGCGCTGTGCTAGTTTGCCGGTGCTAGTTTGCTCAGTGTGGGTGAAATTATGGCACTTTAATGTGGGTGGTGTCAGTTCCTTTGTTTAATACTTCCTCCAATGTTCTGATTTAGATGGGATTGAATGAAAGTGTACACTCAGAGAAGGAACGAAAATCGCACAAACCTTTTAACATATGCTATTGATTGACTTGTCGGCAGTACGGCGACCAAACTCGTCACACCCATTACTTTTGCAATCCAATCTGGTTTATGTGAATTTCATGAAACCCGTTCTGTTGTTTGGCACACGTTTTAATCATACAAAAAATGACCGGGATCAGTCCATCCTTCGTCTTTCCTCTTCCGGTGAGGTTGTGCCAATTTAAGCCGAAAAGCTGTAATTTTCAAGGCGATTTTATGCCTTTCCCATCGAAACTGATTAAATTAAAACATCCACCTAACTCAGTTCTGTTCATCTCAATTTTTCTATCATTTGCCCCAAGAGTGGTGGTTTATTAAGCAAAACGTTACTCTCCATGATTTCATGGACCAATATACATGATGATGTGATTTACACCACAAACTTGATTTTGAAGTCCATTTTGACACCGACTTAATTATAATAACTGGTGTTTGAGTTACCACCTCTAAAGAGTGGTATTCACTCAGCCGCTGCATCAGCATATAAGGTTGTAGATGTGACTAGGACATTGCATTTTAGAGTGGATACACGGACGGACAACATTCTTTGTAGCACCTTGAATACAAGGTAGGAGCAGGTGGATTCATGACCGGGTATTTTCACTCTCTTCTTGAAAGTAGTATACCTTTCTAGTAGTAGCACTCACTGGCATTCAATATTGTCTCATTCCAGATGCTGATGGCATCTTGATCTGAAGCAGAATATTCAACTCCACTCACACTCCACTCAATCTTTAAGTACAAAAAGTTCCCTGAATGCCCACATACGAAACCTCGCTGATTAGGCTCAAACTGGGAAGAACGGGCAGTTTTATTTTGGAGAGATTTATTCACCCTGATAATTGGTTACTTATAATGGAAAGCCTTCACATTTCGAAAGTTGGTTCGACTTAAGCCGACTGGTTTCGAGAATTTAACAGACGACAAGTTTTTCTAATTTTCACACTTATGCTGATGAAACTACATTAGCTCATGGCATCTAGGTGTTTCTCGAGCTTCGCTGATGTGGGGAAAACACTTGTTACAATTTCGACCTTGACTGGTCAAAGCGTTCCACGTCACGCAATGGCGGTGCTCCTAAACGTCCTCGTGACTTAGAGTTTTCCATGCATTATCCCTGAAAATTTGTACTTTAAATATGAAAAAAATCTCTTGCATGTACCATTTCCTGACGTGTCATAGTTTAGATAAAACTCGGCACATATTAATTTCACACCAGTCCAAATTTAGTAACTTATAACAAATAACAAGACACACAAATATGTCGGGCACAGGATGGAGGGATCTAGGTTAAAATAAATTTACCACTAAATCAAACACTAACGCAAATAACGCAAAACACTCGAGAATTTTAGCTACTTGCTAGAGTAATTCAGCTAAACTGCCATTTCATACTTTACCTCATAAGCCCAAGACCTAATATTAATACTTTTTACTAATTACTCACTCCCACATGCTTTTTTCTATATTCTGATTTTTATTCTAAAGGACAATTTTAAAAATTCCAGCTCTGGGATTTCATTCATTTGTTTTATTTAAAGCATCACCATTTTATCCAACATTCTATATTTTTCCTTTGTGTACTACAATTACGGGACAATTACTGCAATCAAAATAATTGCGCATGGTCATTTTTCATCTCTGCCTTTACAGCTTGTTCTACCAAGTGAAGAATACGCAAGCCATGTAGCTGATCGTAGAGCAAGGAAAAAATCCGAGCTAGCTCATGTAGAAGGCAATTTGCACTGATTTCCATCAGATCGTATTAGTTCAAGACTTTAACTATCTGGAAAGTTATTCTGTTATGGCTGTTTGAATGGAACGTTTTCGTTTGCTGTGTATGTACACGGTCAGTAATCTTAGAATATAATTGCTTCACCGTCTTATTTTCCGGAATTTTGTTACTGGTTGAAGATGGAGCGCTATGACATGGGTTGGTCGCTAAAAAGGGAATACTTATCGCAATTTACGGACCACGGTGCATTTAAGGTTTTATAAGAAACGACGGTAACCACAAAAGTGAGCGCAAATCCTGTTATCCAAGAAAGTATCTTACCAGTAACGAAGTTGCATAAAAGCTCAATTGACAATTGGTTTGAAGTATTAGTTACTGTATACTTCTATTTTAGAGAAATAAAATTGAAAAGTAAGCACTGGGCCTGTTGAGATAAGAACATGTCGGATTTGCTGTATAAGAATGCACGCACAGTGTAATTTTAAATATTGCTGAAATTCTCTGATTTCGGGTTGCAGGTGCGGAAAAATAAATATCAATCTTAATAGCCTTCAACCAATAAACTGCGCAAGGTGAGCACAGACAACTTTGCGCCTAGAAGACTGTGAAGAATTTTGCCCACAGAAGAGGATAAGTTATCTTCATATATTAGGTGGGCTTTGAGCAAGATGGGGTAGCGATGTGCTCAGCAATGAAAGTATTTTCTCCATAGCAACGTATTACGTGATATAAGAACAGAAAGGTAAAACAGAAAAAAGAGCAGAAAACTATATTGATGGTCGTGCAAACTTGACAAATCATTACTGAATGGTGGCTGAATATACACGTGGTAGTCATGAGAATGAAGAAGGTAGCGAACCAGCCTTGTTTTCTGTGATGGTTCCTCTTGTCTTATATACCAGAGATTTATATGCAAAAGGCTTAGGTCCGGACTTACACTTGAGAGTAATAGAAATCAAAGGAAGGGGGGTTGCATGAGGGATAGATCAATGGGCATCAGGTAAGTGGCGGTAATGTCAGACAGACTTTTTGGACCGGATGTTTTTAGACCAGTTCAAGTTCAGAGGTTGCGCAAGTTACTTTTGGATGCAGAGTTGCGGATCCAGCAGTCGGATTACAATTGCATCTGCGATCGACAGTAGTCTGGGTAGTATCAGTCGTGTTCGGCTTAGGGGTACCCGGTATATAATGTTGAAGGCTTTCTCCTTGCCTATGACATGTCTTGTTTCGGCCAACTGTGATGCAATCGCGCTTGAGCCTAGTTTCTTCCACTACTACTCAGAGATACGGGATTGTGTTCTCTCATTCTGTCCGACAAACGTCTTATTGTACGGACAACGTGTGGTGCTTAGCACGAGCGCACAAATGACTACACACAAAAGCTGGTGGTAGAGCGTGGCAATTTGTCCTTCAGGAGGAATTTGATGGTAGGGCTGGAGTTGAAGCGCAAACACACATTAGCCGCCAAGTATGTCGTATCAACAGAGTTTGTAAGCCTTCTCGTGATTGGTTCAGCAACCTAGTCACCTTTGAATAGAAGTTTCATGTGGGTTGAATACGTGTGGGATTAAAAAGTATAGGTGAATCTTATTTTTATTGTAGTCAGGTCACTTACGGATGAAGTTTATCTCACAGTAAAACAAAATAAAGCGCGTTCCCCGGGAAGTAGAAAATCTCACCAATGTGCGAAGAATGTCCTCTGTCACAAGTAAGGCAAACCGAACGAAGAAAAGATTTTCAAGATACGGTAACTATTCACGCTTCCTCAGGTCAAAAACTAGGGAAAACGTTTTTTACCGTAAGGAAATAAATACCCTGATCATATAGATGATATGATATGATTTTGTTTGAGGAGGAGTATTTGATAAGTTTGCCGAAAATGAGCCGAAGTCGAGTCTACAGAGAGCATAAGAAATGGGACAGAGAATCAAAAATGCTGGCCGGACGGTGCCAGCTTTTAGTAAGTCTTTTATCAACGGTCTCAACTACCGCACGACAGGGTTGTCGAAACACTCATATCTTCGGCTATCGCATTTACCATTAGTTTGGTACCTAAATGGAGCGACTCAAATGAACACGAAGACAGACGGAACAGATAAGTGTTTTGTGAATGTGTGTTGAATGTGCAGCTTGTTAGTCACTGCTAACCGAATGGGTCATTGTGCAACGTATGTCCGAAAGGGTTAAGCCGCGGAACTGGGTCTGTTCGCGGTAGGGCCAATGCATATCAGCTGTATTTAAAAATTCGCATTTTGAAATTTGCAGTTTTCTCACTTTTACTGGGGCATGAATTTTTATGAGCAAAGTTTATGCTGCTTTTGTCCTTCTCTTTCACCTGACACACATGGGAAAGTGTGGGAAATACTTAAAAGACTGAATTTCATTATACTTGGAAAAGGAAAGTCAACCGATCGACCACCCAAACGCGAAGATTAGCTCTTTTGATAAGTAAGCGGAAAAAGCGCATCCAGCCACTCACGCTAAAAAAATGAAGCCAAAATCGACACAACTTAAGGAAGGACAGGTAAAAATGAGGCAAAAACCTTTAAAAACCCAGAGTAAATAAATAACTAATTAAGTTACTCAAACAAAACTAACGTGCGGCACAATATGTGAACAGAACAATGAGAACAGCGATCAAATGCGTAGGGAAGGAGCTATTCAACGAAACAATCGTTAGTAAGATACGAATTACGAATGATGACAAAAAAAAACAGAATTACTTGACGTCGACACGGTATCCAAGGGTATTATTTGCTTACTACTGTTTACCTGTTACCTAGCGGGATTTCAGTGACAATAACTTGACTATACTTGAATGCACCATCCATACGTAGAACATCGTCCGTTGTCTAGTGACTTTCCGGCAAATCGGTTGTGATGCATCACCACTGTCCATATCTATAAGCTGCGGCCTGCCGACCTGCAGTTAATTTTTCTCGAACAGTGACTGAGCACGATAAATCTAACTTTACTCCAAAATACCATGCGGTCGGATGAGCATCTGGGTAATAAATATAGCGAACGCGCCAGTTGCGGTTGACGGGAAACAGGTATATACACAGTGATCCTTTGTGCTTAGTTCTGACAGTCAGTTATTACCGATTGCTTAAATCTTCTCTTGGGCCCTTGGGCAGTTAATTCTCATCAAGAGTGGGTTTCGTCCCAAAGGATTCTGTAAACCGTAGCAATCTATTTTGACAGGCTAGTTGTTTAAAAAGACCGAGCAATTCAAAAAGTTAATAGCAAAATAACAGTCGTGAGGAAAGGGAGACAGATACACGTCAGTGTTGCTTTTCAAATTTCGGGTGCTGTCTTCCTAAATTATGGTTTCGGTTTTGTGCAGAAAGCGAATTAGATTAATGCTGGCGTATAGAATCGTTAACAGAATTTAGTGGCGTCCAAACAAAACTAGAGCAAGTGCAGATGTTGGACTCTTTGTGCCTGCACACGCCCGTATATTCAGCCAAAGCCGTTCAAGCGTGCGCAACTCTGTCATCAACACATCCATCAAAATCACTGTACAATTTCCAGTCTATTTAGCGTCTGAGATGTCTTTTATTGTGAAAGAATGTGGCAACGGCTTGGATATATACGAGGAACCAGACTGACAAATTAGAAGTATTCAATGGATAAGACCTGGGTAGATAATGCCCTGCACGAGTTATTTTGAGATTTTGGTGCAACAGACTTTTGATCATCGTTCGCAATGGCAGAAAGAGAGTCTCTAAGTGGCAAAACAATAAAGTAAGAATGCCAGATTGATTTCATCGTAGAAAACAATACGTTAAGCAACAATAATTATACTAGAAGTCTAATCTGGTGTTAGGTCGTTCGCAATGGCAGAAAGAGAGTCTCTAAGTGGCAAAACAATAAAGTAAGAATGCCAGATTGATTTCATCGTAGAAAACAATACGTTAAGCAACAATAATTATACTAGAAGTCTAATCTGGTGGTTGATTAGGTGACTGTTGATCTGTTCGCCGAGTTTGGCAATTAGCTTCCAAACGCTACCTCTTCCCTTAAGGAGACATCATCAGTTTTAGCTCAAACAAATAATACACATGTATCTGTAAACATATCACTTTAAATAGTGTCTTGGGGACATAATCATTGAAAGGCAACACTCATCGCCTACTACGAGGGATAGGGTGACCGTTCTGGTTAGATCCCCAAAGACAGAATGGGCAAAATAAAGTCTATCATAGTGTGGTTGAAAACAAAATATTACATTTTGACGTTGCGTTTCTGCATGAAAAGAAAATTGACAGCCAATGTTTGGAATAGACAGAGTTATAGTTCGGTTCGGTTATTAATTTTGGATATAGATGTGAGGAGAAAATTTTTCCAATCTGAACTGATGCGTAAACCACTGACGTCATGAATTCAAAATGAAGACAACCGTGGTAACAGACAGCTGAGATGTTCCACAGACTGCATCAGGCCGTAATATGATGCCCCAAGCACTATGAGACGGATCAATGAAGTTTCCGGCTTATCTCGGTTGGACATATTCTCTGTCGAATATCTAGACAGATTGCTAGTTTCCTGTTAAAGTTCAGACTATTCGGCAATAAGTGGGAGTGACAAAAACAACTGGCAGGTGGTCGTGCGGATAGGTTCGTTTGATTCTGAATCATCTGCAGAAATTGGAGAAGCAATATTGCAATTTGCGAATAGCATTTTGTGCTTTATCACAGATGGATATCTTTTCTAATCCGCATTGTACTTCTTTACCATGGCATGCCAATTGAAATTAGCGTTAAACTTTTCTTAAAATCGGGTCAAAACTGACAGCAACATGTGGTTATTACAATCGTGACGTATTCTAAACTGACATTTCGGGTTGCCTGCTGTAAGTTCACCAGTTTCGCATATAAACTGCCTCGGCGCCAGAAGGTACTTTAAAAAGGTTTCCTTCCGAACGTCTTCCAATTTGGAATCTTGCTTTTACAGTTGACAGTGACGTGAACGAAATCAGACATTTATTCATTTTTATTGCTAACAAGCCA